TCCATTGTGCTAACCTTTTAACCCAAATCAGTGCAGTGGTTGGAAGGCTCTAATTTATCCTTTTAACATAACTCTGTAATTGCATATTTTTCACTTTTTGTAGAGCAGTGCAAACTGGTGTCCAAAAGCAGATAGCTACCCTTGCCAATATGTTACGAAGTTCCCAAATAAACCAGATGAGAGCTAGTGCAGAGATCACAATCTACCCTACAGCTTGAAGTGACAAGGATTTAATTAATTAGTGCAAGTACACTTATTACAGCTGTTTGAAAACTCCGTTATGTGAGGAGAAGGGAAAATGCTTACGTTTTCAGTAGCTGGCCTAAAGTCTGTAGTGGTTCAGCTGTGCCTCCTTCTCCTGAGGTACACCCTTTTAGGGTGTCTTAGTAGGCTCTCAGACAGCTGGACCATTCATTAACTCTTCAGACTTAACTGGAATGCATGTATGTGGATAGCAAACAGCAGCAATACCCAGTTCCTAAGTGAAAGTGAAGGCACAAAGCAATGAGACAAAGTATTTATAGAGTTTAAGAGTAAGCTAATGACTTGAACAAGTTGAAAATGGGGGTTCTGTATACCCTGTTATTTTAATAGAGATTGATGGCCCTGATTTCCTGCAGCATATTAGGTACTGAGCAGTAGATCAGTTATCAGGTCCCTCCTTGTGCAGTTGTCATAAACTCTGCTCCCATCTAGTTTCTGCATCAGAAACTCTCACTTATCACACTGCTCAAATACAATGACATGTAAGTTTTGGAGTGCCCTTATCTTACCTACACAACTCGTCCCACATTGCTTCACTTCCTACTTCAGTCTGCTTTTAACCTTCAAAACCAGACAGCCCCAATCTAACAACGACATGTTCCAATACGCTGCTCCTTGGCCAACCTAGCACCTTTCACTACTACATCTGGAGTACAGGCTGCTCTGATTGAATGATCAGTTTGCCATTCCATACAAATATTCAACCTGCCTTTACTGTGCTGCTTGTTGAATTACCACATGAGCCAACCAAGGTCCTTTGGGTAAATCCAATATCTTGTGTTAGCAGTGCAAGCTTTTGGGCACAAACACCTTTTGTCAGGGTGAGGAAGTGTCTGCAGATGGTCTGTGCTCTTCCTGGAGGGAATGGTAAAGCAGCCAGAAGCCAGTACATATGCAAGACAGCCAGTCAGTTAAGATGTAAACTGAGGTGGTCAGTAGCAGAGAGGGTGGTTGGGTGGGTAGGCAGGTAAGAATAAAAGTAGCCGTAGTCTGGCTGGGGGGAGGAAATGAGAATAGCAGGTAAAGTGTGGAGGGTTTACCTGGGGAGTCAGATGTTAGGCACGTTGCGTCATAAATCCAATGTCTATATTTAGTCCATGATTTTTTGTATCCAGTAGATGGATAAAGTGAAGTTCATAGGCTCATCTGTAGAAGGTATCTGGCATCAGCCAAGGCACATCTGATTATCAGAGAGAAACTGAAATGCAGTACTGCTGTTCATACCTTAGTACACCCTGCCCTGAGTCACTGTTAATAAAAGATGAGATTGTCTTCAGCCATCAGCCAGAAAGTATGGCATCAAAAAGTGGCAGCCAATCAGTAAGGTCATCTCTGTAAGTTTTCAGATGATTAGCAATGAGAAGGAAGAATGCACAACACTAAAGTGGCAGACAAGGTTCTTTGGGTAAATGTGGTATCTTATTAGACCAAGGGTTGTCAACTGAGGGTATGCATACCCCCTTGGGTACTCGGGAAGGCCCTAGGGGCTATGTGCAGGCAGGCAGGGAATAGAGCGCTGCCATGCACCATCCCACACTGCTGCGCAGGTGCTGCCCACCCATCTGGATGCCGGGGAAGCTCACACACTTTGTTCCACACCCCTGCCCCCACATGCCTGGCCACTGGGGGTACACTGTTCCACAAAGGTTGAAAACCCCTGCCCTAGGGGGTACATGTGGGCAGGTGGGGACAGAACACCGCCACCTCCCAGGAGCAGGGCTGGGGAGGAGGGGGGCCCGGGCAGCAGGGCCCCTCTGCAGGCCACATCGGTCAGGCTGGTGGTGCTTGATGCACAGGGTGGGGGAGGGGAAGCTCATATGCAGCCACCACCCCACACTGCCACTACTTCACATCCGGCTCTGCGCCACCCTTCGTGTCCAGCTGCCGGGGGTACACTTATTAAAAAAGGTTGAGAACCCCTGTATTACACCACCTAAATAGTTGGAAAAATTGTTCTTTGCAAGCTTAAAGAGATATCACATTTACCCAAAGAACCTTATCTGCCTATGTCCTTAGACCAACACAGCTACAACCGTCCCAAAACAGTGAAGTGCAGATTTATTAGTTTCCAGTACCATTCACATTGTGCTGGGTATGGGGCAAAATTAAAGATAACTCTGTGGGGTAGGGACAGAGTAAAAATCACTAGAGATGTACTAAGGCATGCGGACCAATTCCTTACCTCAGAAGATGTGACCCTGGTTGCTTAAGCATTAAAACAGGCAAGACTGGTGAAAGCTCTGTATATAGATTGAATTCCACTGACTGCTGTACCAGCTAATACCAGATCAGGAAGCATAGGGAGTAGCAGCTTTGATTGACCACCCACTAAACCAGGGGCAGGCAATTATTTTGGGCAGAGGGCCACTTACTGAGTTTCAGCAAGCCATTGAGGGCTGCATGACAGGCAGCCCAGGGCAGATTATTTTTCTAAACTTTTTAGGGGCACCGTGGGCTGGATAGAACGGCCTGGCAGGCCGCATCCGGCCTCCGGGCCGCATTTTACCCACCCCTGCACTAAACCAAAGGAAATACACACACAAGTCTTGCCTGCAGTGCAGAGTATAAACATCTTTGTGGGAAGTTTCATTAAGCCAAGTTCCTGGTTCCACGTACCTCAGCCTTCCCCAAAAACAGGTTACCTCCTGGCATTTCAGGTGCTGATTCTACACTTGATGTTGCCGAGCTTTGGGAAGCTGCTGGAAAAGCAGTGGCTGTTTGGACTGGTATGGGGTACAAAGCAGACCTCACTTCCCTCAGTACCATCTACTGCATGACACGAGTTCTTGAGAGCAGAATTCAGAGGGAGAGGAAAAGGCTGGCTGATGCGTGAACAGAAAGAGAGCACACTTTCAAGTGTCTGCTCCTCGGGGAGCGGGGCCCAATCTGTTCCCACATATGGGGCCCCAGGCAGCACAGGTGTGGGAAGGTGGGCTCAGGAGAACTAGAGGTCCTTACCTGTAACTTGAGTCCTGTGGGATGAGCGTTTGCACTTTCACACCTGTGGGATCAAAAATACTGTACCACAGGTCACCAGGATCTTCTGCCGTGTCAGCTGGGCCACTCCCTCTCCTCAAAGCTGAGGGAATGAAAGAGCAACCCAGGAGGATGAACTGACCTGGAGGGTAATGTAAGCAGACGGTGAAACAGAAGCGGGCAACAAGAAAAAGGAGACAGACTGACACACGGGCTGGTATTTATTACAAGGGGCTGAGGGAAGCAGAGATCTGAGCTGGTGGAAAGCCAGCAGGTGGCTGACCCACCAGAAAAAACACCATGTACAGATGTATTTTTGCTGGTTCAAGACTGATTTTTCTCCCTCTTATTAGTTTTCCCCACATTTTCCAAGCAGTGCTACCCAGGAACATTCCCAGAGCTGAGCAATGCCAGAAGGGTTTTGCCCCGTGAATAGCAACATGCACAAGTTGTTCTTTAGACCAGCCTGTTCCCAGTACCTAGTCCTGTGGTATGTCGGCCCTGGATAGACTCCACACTCAAACCACATGGCAAAGCAGCATAAGAACACTTTACTTGTGAATCTCTTCGTGACATATGCAAGCCCGGGTACATTAATGGGGTGGAAAGAAATCATTAGGCACAAATCTGATTTTGCTCAGGGTTAAAAAACTTATATTAAATATAAGTAAAAAATAAGTTATATAGTCATTGCTCCACAAGTAACATAGGCATCTCTAACACAGGGGGGCTGCATTCACCCTGGTTCTTGTAATTTCATGCTTCTCCAAGGTATAAAGCAGTGCTTCAAGGCAAAAATGCTCTGGAATTATCTACAAGTAACATTAAGGTGCAGTCAGCAGCTCGGAGTTTGGGAGACCAGAATACTTATAGTAGAGCTCTGCTAATAAAACTACTGTTAAAAGCTGGTTTGGAGGTTTCTCCACATAACACAAGATGGACGCATCACTTTACCTTGCTAAATAATACTCTGAAATAACTGCAGCATCACACAAAAATGTACATACAAAAAGTAGTAAATCCTGTTTTTCCAGAAATAAAACTGTATTTTTATTGTCATTAATACCAACTTTACATAATTTTTCCTCCAAACTGCATTTTCTTTCCTTTTTTTGTTTTGTTTGTTTGTTTTTAAATAACAAAGGCAGACTTATTTCCTGGGTCCAAAAAGACTAAGGGAGCTATAATTTTAAGTGGTGTCAAATTCGCTGTGGTTGGACGTGCATTTTTGCTATTACAAAACTATTAAAATATGGAGGAACCGAAGACACGTACAGGAACAGAACTATTGGCGTCTGGGTTGTGCTAATATAATTGGACAGAACTTGGCAGGTTCTAATTTTCTAATAACATTTTCAAAATTAAAATCAGCAATGTAGAACATTTTCAACATGAATATGCCCCACAACAAGAAAATGCAGCATTTCTCTCTCTAATTCAGGAGCTAGGAAATCAGTTTTGTTTTGCGTTCACTGGTAAAACTGGGCACCATGCATCTCAGTTTGCTTGAGGCATAATAAGCTCATAATGCCCAACTTGGCCCTCTTGCTTCAGTTGGTCTAATAAGTCTTCCTTGCGCCTCTTTCTGCTTACCACCAAGTATCTATCATGACCCTGCCCGTGCGATTTACTTTTAAGCCCATATTTTTGGGCAATTTGATGTATTTGCTTCCGTTCATCATTGTTAAGTTCTGTCGAGAACGTCAAGTCAACGTTACTCTCTGAGCGAGCGTAATTTCGGATGATCTGCTCGATATCTCTCTTGGCAATTTTGTTCACCCTTTCCACATCAAGGCCAAGTCCTTCCCTTTTAAACTGCTCCTTCACTGAAATAGGCTCTCGGATCCCTTCACCGTCTTTCCCAAGCCCACCACCCGTCCAGCCCATTTTTCTTAGAATCTGATTCCCAATGTTATCTTCTTTTATCTTCTGTTTGAAGGCCTCTTCTGCTGAGCGGCCCTGGATCTCATTTCTTGAGATGACATCTTCGATGGTGCCTTTCTTCAGGTTGTTGACAACAGTGGGCTGCGTCTTTTTGAGTATTTTCACAGCTTCCTCTGCTGCCTCGTGCTTCACAGATTTCTTAACGCCGATGGCTTCAGCAATGAATTCATTTTCTAGCATCACCTTGCACTTCCACCGCATGCCCGTCATCCTTTCGAAGACATACTCCACAGTCATCTTGTTGAACTGGGCGGTGTCGTTAAGTGTACACACGGGATTGTTAGAGTTCTCATAGATGACCAGCTCCTTCAAGTCCTTCTTCTTGCCACCCCTGGATGAACAGCCCACTTTCTGAACCTGGGTGGTTTTGATAGCTGTCACATTGGACTGGGTCTTCTGAAGAATTTTCAAAGCTTCATCTGCTGCGGCATGTTTGCTGGTTTTCTTAGTGCCATACCCCTCTGCCAAGCAATGGTCTTGTAAATACACTCGACAGCGCCACGAGCGGTTGGGCATCTGGTCATACTTGTATTCCATCGACATTTTGTTAAATGAAGCTGAGTTGTTCAGTATCCCGATCGCATCACTGGCATTTTCTATGAGGACAAAGCTGGTCCAGTGCTTGTTTGAGTTAGAACCACTTTTCACAAACTCAGAGCCAGGCTGAATAGGTACACAATCTCGGTTGGCAGCTACAAATTCATCGTATGGTTTGAGAGCAGGAGGGAATTCTGGGGGAGATGCATCAACCTCACACACGACTAAGTCCTCCTGATAGCTATGTTTGAACTTCCGCTGAATAACTCTCACTTCAACAGTCTTTTGCAACAGCTTGACTGCCTTTTCTGTGGCGCGATCCCTAGATCCATTTTTGCTGCCAGCGTAACCAGTGGTTAAGTAGACATTGAGGCATCTCACTTCGCAAGCAAAGCCATCTGTGAGAAGCTTCTTACTTTTTGGGAGATCAGCAGGAGCAATTTCTTTTAAAGGAACATAAATATATTCAGGATTTGTCTTACAGGCCTGAATTGAGCGAGTCAACAGATAAGTATAATTAATTTTATCAGTCCCAATGTTTGCATCTGGGTTAGCAAGATTTTTCCAAATAGCAGCTGAGAGTTTATCAATAAAATTCTGCTTCAGTGCTACAACTGATGGGGAGAAAGTTTCAGAGGAAGTCTGAGCAGCTAAGGGGGAGGTTGACAGTTGTGTAGCATCACTGAAGGTAGTGTCCATACTGTTTAAAATCTTACTGGTACCTGTCGCCTGGCTACTTCCATAGCCTAAACCCACTGAGTTAGAGGACTGGGGATCTTCTTCTAGAGCACTGAAGATGTTGAAAGCCAGGTTGGTACAGTTTTCTGCTGGCTGTGATGCGCTGTGTGCATCTGTATCCTTGTCGGATTCCTGTGTTTGGTTGTCTGAAGGATCTTCCTTTCCTCCAACTTTCTCATTACTGGCTACAAAGTATATGGGTTCAAAACGAGGTCTCACACGGAACCTGGGGAGAACTTTTTTGGGAGGCTCTGGACCTAGGAAATGAATAAAATTTACAATGTTACAAACAAGTTCTCAGAGAGGAAGGCAATGCTTCAGTATGATCACCTGTAGTCACCAGCAAGCTTTTGAGCATGGAATTCCAACTGCCCAGTCACAAACAACAAGGATTCTGTGTGCAAGACGTGTGCCATAGATAAAGCGTCATTTGTGCAGGTTACAGTAGAAGCAGTCTCAATTCTGTTTTTCACATGACAGTCGGTGGGTTTTGTAATACTTACAGCACATAGGCCGAGAGACACAGGGATCATTTAGTCTAACCTGTGTGAAGTAAATCAATCCACAACATTTCATCCAAGTAACTCCTGCAGTGAGCCCGGCAACTTGTGGGAAAAGCAAAATAGCAACTGCACTGAGACCCTGGAGACCTTGGCTCTGTTCCCAGCTCTGCTACTGGCAAGTCATTATACCCACTGTGGCCTTTTCATCTGTGAAATAGGATGAAGATACGGGCCCTTCTTTGTATCATTATCTTCTAGTGGTGAAAAATACTTTACAGCTGTATTTTCCACAGACAACCAGTCTCAAGTGGAAGGTGAATAAAAGCCAACAGTGTGCTCTTGTTGCAAAAAAGGCCAATAGTATACTTTGTGTCACTGGGAGGAAAGTCGCTGGCAGATCCAGGGAAGTGATTCTTCCACTCTATTCAGCACTGGCGAGACCTCACCAGGAGTACTGTGTCCAGTTTCAGTCCCCCCACATCACGTATGATGTGGAGAAATTGGAAAGAACCCAATGGAGAGCAACAAAAACAATTAAAGACCTGGGAAGCATGATTTATGAGGAAAGGCTGAAAGAGCCACTGTAATTTCATCTGGAGAAGACTGAGAAAGGATTTGATAACAGTCTTCAAATACCTGAAGGACAATTGTAAGGAAGATGAAGATGGCCTTTTCTTTGTGGCCACAGGGGACAGGACAAAGAGCAGTGGCCTCAAGCCACAGCAGAGAACATTTGGAAATAAGAAGGAACTTTCTGACCAGGAGGTGACAGACTATTATTTCTAGCCAGAGGGGACAAGATAAGGAGTAATTGTCTTAAATTGCATCAAGGGAAATTTAGGTTGGATAATAGGAAGAACTTTCTCACTATGAGGGAG